CGTATAGGGACCGCGGTGAGAGACCAACCCCCTCCGGTGTCGAGAAAGTGCCACGCCTGCTAGGCCCTGCGACATTGGCGCGTATAGGGACCGCGGTGAGAGACCACCCCCTGCGCAGACCCTGCGGTGTCGAGAGAGTGCCACGCCTGCTGGGCCCTGCGACATTGGCGCGTATAGAGACCGCGGTGAGAGACCACCCCCTGCGCACCCCTCCGGTGCGCACCTCCGGTGTCGAGAAAGTGCCACGCCTGCTAGGCCATGCGACATTGGCGCGTATAGAGACCGCGGTGAGAGACCACCCCCTGCGCACCCCCTCCGGTGTCGAGAAAGTGCCACGTCTGCTAGGCCCTGCCACATTGGCGCGTATAGAGACCGCGGTGAGAGACCACCCCCTGCGCACCCCCGCTGGTGTCGAGAAAGTGCCACGCCTCTACGCCCTGCGACATTGGAGCGTATAGTGTATGATGCGTGTGCGGCTATATCGGGACGTGTCCCATGTGGGTGCCCACTATGTCGCGCACGCGCCTCAATGGACGCTGCAGATGTCGCGCACGCGCCTCAATGGACGCTGCAGTGATCACGCCAGGCGCGCACTAGCGTTGTATGGTGTGTGTGTGTTGTGTGTGCGAGTGTGTGCATGCGCGCGGCCGTATGTAGACGCGTGTCTCATGTACTTGCCGTGCACGCGTTGAGCGCGGGTGAGGAGAGGAAGGAGGAGAGAGGAGATGAGGTGTGAGGTGAGGTGAGACGCGGGTGCGCCGCGGCAGGGAAGAACACCAGAACCCCACGAAACATGTGGGGAATAACTCCTCCTCCTTTCCTCATTCTCTCCACCTTCTTCTTCCCCCTCCTTGCCCCTCCTCCTCCTCTTCCTCCTCCTCCTCGTCCTCCTCCTCCTCCTGCTTTCCTTTATCCTTCCTTTGCCTCATGAATAACTCCTGCCCGTCGCACCCCGAGGCGTGACGGCAGGGCGGGCTGGGCGTTTCGCCTGAGACTTCCTCACCACCCATGCCCCTTAAGCTAAAAACGTGCAGGCGCTTCACGGACGGAAGGCGGCCCGCTTTCAGAATGTGGCTCTCGCCTGGGTGCCGCGCACATTCGTTCAACCAAATACAAGAGCTTCACGGATGGAGCGCGGGCCGTTTTCAAAATCTGGGTCTCGCCTGAGCACCACGCACATTCGTCTTAACAGATTTAGGAGCTTCACAGATGGAGTGCGGCTCGTTTTCAGAATGTGGTTCTCGCGTTAGCGCCAAGCACAGTGTTGTTAAACGTGCAAGAGATTCACGGATGGAAGGAGGGCCGTTCTCAGAATGTGACTCTCGGCATAGCGCTGTGCGCATGCGTCTTCAAAATGACAAGGCTTTCACGGATGGGGGGCGGTTCCTTTTCAAAATGAGGCTGTCGCCTGTTGCTGTAGCGCCGCGCACATTCGTCTTAAACATTACAAGAGCTTCACGGATGGAAGGCGGTTCCTTGTTCAAAATGTGGCTACCGCCACAGCGCCGCGCACATCCCATTTCACAGATCACAGCAGTGTCAGGATGCTCATGGTAAACGTCCCAGAAATGCTGTTTTGGCACGATGTCGGACTGTCAGAGCGCAAGAGTTATGTTGATTCGCGGTGTTGGAGGGTGTTTGCCATGATTCATGATCGTCAGGCGGCGACAATATTGGTGACTCGCAGTGTTGAAGTCTCAGAAATGGTGTTCTGGCACAGTTCAGAAATTTTCGAACGGTTGTCTTTCAACGGGGCACTTCCTTCAGCGAAAATGTATCCTTGCAGGGGACTGTGAAGAGGTTACCGCTGAGGGGGACTTTGGAAAGACGGTTCATTCCAATATCGCTGATGGGTCTTGGGTTTGCACTGGTCCTTCTCCTGCTCCTGCTCCTCCCCTGCTCTCCTCCCGGCGTTCCCGCCTCCACCGTCCTCCTGCCAGGAGGAGGAGTAGGAGGATAAGGAAGAGGAGGAGGAGGTGGAGGAGGAGGATGATAAGGAAGAGGATGATGATGATGATGATGATGATGATGATGATGATGATGAGGAGGAGGAGGAGGAGGAGGAGGAGGAGGAGGAGGAGGGGGAGGAGGAGGAGGAGGAGGAGGAGGATAAGCAGGAGGAGGAGGAGGAGGCCTGGCTATTCCATCGGGTGCGGCCTGCGCAGATGTGCAGCTGCATGCGAGGCGCGCCGTCGGGCTGAGGTCGACGTCGTCGCGGTCGTGGTCGTGGTCGTGGTCGTGGTCGCGGTCGTGGTCGTGGTGGTCGTGGTCGTCGTCCAAGAGCAGAGCGCAGCGCGGACTTCTCTGAGGCAGGGTTTGGTCGGCCAGACTTAGGTCGGGCCTGTCCCCCTACTAGAGGGGGATTTTGGGCGACAAATTTAAACTACCCCAGAAATACACCAAAACAATTCAAACATTGTAAAAAAAATCGTCCCCTGACTATTTTTAGACTATTTTTGAACATCCCCCTTGTAGGGCGACAGGCCCGACTTAAGGCCAGACCCCCCTCCACGGCGCATCGCGGAGGCCGGGCTGTTCTGGGAGTCCACTGGGCCGCACTGGGCGCACCAACATGGTGAGTGGGATGGTCAAGCTGTCGATCGACCTCTTGGTCTCCTTGGCGTTGACGCATAGTTATGTGCGCGAGGGCATCATCGGGAGCGGCCAAGAGGGGGGTGTCCAAGAGGGGGGGGTGCAAATCATGGCCGGCGGCATGTGCGCGGCCCAGCGGGGGGGCCTGGGACGTAATGAAATAAGAAGAGGCGCCATGAAATCTGCGGAGATATCATGGCCCGCGCCATGATATCCACCCCCCCCTAGTCATCACCCCCCTCTTTTCCGCCCCCGAAGCTCTCGACGTCGGCGCTGTTCGCAGGGCCGGGAGCGGGGAAGGCACGGGTCTGGGGCCCCTCTGGGGCCACACATCTGGCCGAAACCAGGGGGAAAGGAGGAGGAGGAGGAGGAGGAGGAGGAGGAGGAGGAGGAGGAGGAGGAGGAGGAGGAGGAGGAGGAGGAGGAGGAGGAGGAGGGAGGAGGAGGAGGAGGAGAGGGAGAGGACAGGAGGAGGAGGAGGAGGTGAGGAGGAGGAGGAGGAGTGAGGAGGAGGAGAGGAGGAGGAGGAGGAGGAGGAGGGAGGAGGAGGAGGTCTGGGGCCCCTCTGGGGCCACAAATCTGGCCGAAACCGGCGTGCTCCCCCAAAAAGCCCCGACCACGGCATCCCAGCTTCGGTGTCAGGCAGCCGGTACTTTATACCCGTGCCCATGCATAGGAGGAGGAGGAGGAGGAGGAGGAGGAGGAGGAGGAGGAGGAGGCCGAGGAGGAGGAGGAGGAGGAGGAGGAGGAGGAGGAGGATGGGGAGAAGGAGGAGGAGGAGGAGGCCGAGGAGGAGGAGGCCGAGGAGGAGGAGGAGGAGGAGGAGTTATACGCGCATGCGCATACACACATGCACATGCGCATGCGCACACCTGTTCATACACAAGTGGGCATGCACATGCACATGCACTGATTCATCCCCGTGCAGATCTACACAGGAGAGCAATTGTGTCTACACTCTCTTGGCACATGCATAAAGGAAAACAGCTAGACGTCCCTGCATACAGACAAGCAGACACACGTGTACGTATGCAAATGCCCTCCTTCTCGCCCTCCTTTCCGTTTCCCTCCTCCTCTCTTTTCTCCGTATCACCGTACCATTTCTTTTCCTCATTATCCTCCCCTCCCTCCCTCATGCTTTAACTCCATGCCACATTCCCTCCCCCGAGGAGCATGTGAGACAATGCTAGTTGTGGGGGAGTCATGATGATGAGGTTGGTGGGGGGAGTCTCCTCCTCCCCATCATCCCCACGCCATCGTCTCAAATTCCCTTCTGTCTCCTGAGCCACATCCTCGTCAGTATCATCCTCCTCTTCCTCCTGACATCCTCCTGCCCATCTTCCTTCTCCTGCACCGCATGTTCCCTTTATTGCGGGTTTGCACATTGCTTCCTTGTGTGGCGTATTTTTGCATTGGGAACATTCGCGGCGGGTTTGCCAACTGATTCCTTGTCTGGCTGACTCACACCTATATTACAAGTGACGGCCTGGATCAACCACCATACCCTCTGCTATTTTTTTAGAAACTTGAGCATGTCTGTTCGTACAGTTTGTCCCAGCCTGCCGCGCGATGCGAACAGGTGTTGCACCTGCAGGGGCAAACATTGAGCCAACAACCCTCGGGGCAAACATTCGGTGAACGGCCCTTCTGCTATACAAGCCACCCCTGCGCAGAAGAAGGCGAGGAGGAGGAGGGTGAGGAGGAAAGAGGCATGCGAATCGGGGATGACAATCCCGTCCCCCTAAAACGAGCGACTGCCCCAGACTCGGACAGGAACTGACCTCAGCGGAGAGGAACATGCGGGCAGCGGCCCCCGACAGGAACTCACCCCTGGGAGTGTCTCGGCGCCGCGCGGAGAGCCCTGGGCACACTCGAGCCCTGCAGTGTATTGCGAAAAACTGTTGACGGTCTTAGGGCCCGCGAGAGGTCCCCGAGAGGCCGCAAGCACATACAAAAAAAAACACAGGGCCACTCGTCCTCAGGACGCCCCGCCTCGTGGCGAGCGGAAAGGGGCGCATCTGATCGGGGCTCCACGCGTGAGAAGACTGCGTGCTCCACGCCCCAACCGCTTGTTCTCAAAACCCCCTTCTTCGCGGCGAGCGGAAAGGGGCGCATCTGATCGGGGCTCACCGTGAGAGGACTGTGTGCCCCACGCCCCAGACGCTCATAGCTCCAGCTTGTGAGCGCCGCCCCTGCACTTCTCCCAGGCCACGGCAGAGCGCAGCGCCTTTCCTGTAGCCTGATGCACTGCCAGGCAAGTGCCCTTTGCGGCGCAGCCCAGGTAGGCGTTCTCGAGCAGGCCGGCAAAAGAGAATATGCTTCTATCATGTCGGAGCTGGAACAGCCGTTCGAAGGCCGCCACGTGCTCGTGCGGACTGCCTTCGGGACACGACAAGGTAAAGCCCGTGTCCAGAAACTTGTACACCTTGTGCCAGAGCTCTGCAGAGCCTCCAGGAGAATCCCCTGAAATGAGATGCGTCGCATCTGCCCAAATTTTGTGCATGAATCCGCGAAGGCACGTGAGCTCTTCGTCGAACTGCTTCAGGTTTGCAAACACCTTTTTGAATGGCCGCACGCGTACCCTCACGCACCCAATCCTTCTTTGCCTGTCTTCGATCCTCCTCCTGACCATGTCTGGGTGAACGCCCATGGGAGGACTCTTTGGTGGAGGTGGCAGTGCCTTCAAACTTGCGTACCTTTTCGGGAGTTTTGCGAGCTTGGGCCACTGTTTCAAATCGTCCTCCGGTTTCTGGCCGAAAATCTGATCGAAAATGTTGGCAAACGGGTTCGGAACATAGAACCACGAGTTTACCCCAATCACATCTCCAGAGTTGAAGCCAGAGTGCCACCACCTCATCGGGATGTACAACACATCGCCAGGAAACAACACGACATCGTACCTATCGGCCTTTGCTATGTTCGGATACTTCTGAAGGCTGGGATTCTTCCACAGTTCCTCCAGGTCAGCTCGAGTCTTGTTCGCAACGGCGTAGAGGTCAAGAAGCACTTCAGAATACCACTGAACTTTTGGCCACACGTGGAGGTTGTCCGCCTCCCACGGCGGATACATCATGAATTTCTTGCCTCCACTGCCGTGCGTGGCGAAGAAGAAATTGTGATGATTGTCGATGTGCAGGCCGGTGACAACTAAGGACCCATTCACGCCCATCCACCAGCTCACCTTGTCAATGTAAGCAGTCTGCAACAGCCTCGTCGGCAGCGCCTCTACCACAGGCTGCAGCAAGTCCAGTGACGGCAGGTGGCCCTGGGACTTGAAACACTGCAGCGCCGCGCCAGCAGACGAGCTACTTTCAAGGCCCTTGTAGTACTCCAAGACCTGGTTCAAGTTCCAATGCCCGCCCTCGTGCGCGTGCGAGTTCCACGGGCCGCTCCCGTGGCCCTTGTTCAGTGACCAGCCCCCTATGTCGTCAGCGTACCTGAGCAGGTTATCGTGAGAGAGCGCCTGCAACAGCTTCGACTGGGCGGCGAGGCCGCGGAAGACGACAGGGAAGCCCTCCACGAAGATGTCAGGCCAACCCTTCATGAGGGCCGATGCGTTGGCCGCAGAAATCTCTCGCACAGCATGCCCTTGGATACCTGCGGCCAGCGGCGGTAAGCAAATCGAACAGAGCGCCAGCACGAGGCGACACTGACAAACGGTATCCAAGGTGCGACCCAGCACACGGCTCATCGCTGCTGTCACCACATGGTCAAACATGCAGATGCGGGTATGGCAGACGTCTGCCTTGAACCAAGATTGCTACGGAGGCGAAAGGGAGGGGAGGAGGCGGAAGAGCAAACCAGATATGTCGACGAAGGGAGCGGTGGACATTGGACGGATGCACGCGCTGGCGGCGAGCAGACCAGCTCGGCGCCTGCCGTGCTGACGTGCTGCGCACACACTCGAATACACACGCACTTGACGAGGTGTGGAAACCTTGGAGGCATCGGGGCGTATGGCGCCGGGGCTCCCCAGCCCCACCAGTGGGCCCAGGTCCCTGGTGGCGAGGAGGAGGAGGAGGAGGCGGAGGAGGCGGAGGAGGAGGAGGAGGAACCACCTTGGAGAGCGTACTCGTAGTCGTAGTCGTGGCCGTAGTCGTGCCGTGGCCGTAGGCGTAGGCGTAGTCTTAGTCTTAGTCGTCGTCGTCGTCGTGGTGCAGCGGGCGCCGCGGGCAAATAATTCTTTCCCTCCTCCTCCTCCACCTCCTCCTCCTCCTCCTCCTGCTCCTCCTCCTCCTCCTCCTGCTCCTCCTCCTCCTCCTCCTCCTCCTCCTCCTCCTCCTCCCCCTCCTCCCCCTACCCCCTCCCTCCCACTGTTGGTGGGGCGCCAATCCGTCAATAAGATCGCCGAACAAGTAGTAGTGAGAAGGGTTCTAAAGACCTACCCAGTTCGTGAGATTCTATTGAAGGGGACGGGGGAAGCCCCGCCCCCCCCCCCGGTTCGAACCCCCCCGCCCTGCACAGTGGGGGGGGCGCCATCCCCGGCTCGACCACAACCCCTCTTGGAAAGGGGGGAGACTCCTCCCCCCGTTCGAGAAGCCGCTCCCGGTTAGAGAGGCCGATGTTGGGGTGTGGGGGAGGGGGCCTGGTTCTATGGGCGCGCCGCCACACGTTTCGCTGGGGGTGGAGGGCGGGGGGCGGCTCCGACGTGTCCAAAGTTTTCTTTCAAGGCATGCGTCCACGAAACGCGTTCTCTCTCAAAGAAAAGAAGCTGAGGGTCCAAGCAAACGTACCGCTGCAGACATCCGCACATTCTGGCAGCGAGTGGGCGAGAGGACGGAACGGAGCCTGGGGGCAACAGAAACAGGCAACGAACTCAAGATATCCGCACAATATGGGCGCGAACGGGCGAGCATAACACCGCGTGTCCGAACCCCCTGTGGGAACCCAAGTGCCAAACCTGCGACGTCGCAGTGGTGAGGAGGAGGAGGAGGAGGAGGAGGGGGAGGAGGAGTGGGCCTCGCAAAAGAAAAAAGTCCTGGGGGGCAGAACCAAGAACACCGCCAGGGAGATCGCCACACGGGTGCGAACCGGGCGAGTGTGACACCCTCCGGCGGCCCTCCCTTGGGGTGCTAAAGCAAGGGCCTGACTCGGGACATCCTCATGAATTACTCCAGATTTCGTAATAACGGGAGGGGGGTCTCATTTCGGGGGGGGGTCTCTTCCAGGCTATCTTGGAGGGCCTGGGGGGTCTGGGGACGATGTTTCGGAGGGTTCTCCCACGGGGGAGGTCTGAAATGGCTTGTCTTGGAGGGTCCAGACCCCCCCCTTTTATTACGAAATCTGGAGTACTCTGAAAGCAGAGGAGTCCCAGCCTCGAAACGTGAAAACCGCCTGAGAAGTCCCCACGACCTGGCCGCGAACTAATAGCCGTTGGCGGTGTACCTTTTGAGGTGCCCATGAAGCACGCCTGCTATGTCGTGGGGTCATGGGGCTCCTAAAAGGAAGCAGCCTGAGCAAAAAAAAAGGGCGCGCAAGGGCGACTGTAGCGCCGCCCGTCGGCTCCCCCTCTGGGGGGCCCCAAAGCCACGCCTGGTATGTCGCGGTGGTCATGGGTCTCACGGGAAGAAGAACTCCTGGAGGGCAAAAACAGGACAACCGCGTGAGATATCCCCACCATCTGGGCGCACACGGGCGAGTCCAACACCCACTGGCGGCTGACTCTTTCGGTGCTCACATGCCACGCATGCCTCGGTAATGCGGTGATTGTGAATGCTCAAATGCCAAGCATGTTGTGGTAATGCTGCGAGTGTGAATGTTCATGCTGTGGATGGTATGTGTGTGTGTTTGTGAATCTGCGTGTGACGTGACTGTGTATGAGTGGATCTAGGTGGAAGTGTGAGTCTGGGTGTGACAAATCTGGCTACCAGCCTGTAGCTATGAGTAAGGGTGAGCCTGAGTATCATGGATCTGAATGCGAGTGAGTCTGAGTGTGACTGAGCCAGACGGGGTCTGGGTGATATGGGTGTTGAATGTGATAAGGAGGAGGGAGGAAGCGGGAAGGATGGAGGTGGGCGGAGACGTCACATTAAAACAAGGAGCCCATACGAATAGCATCAACTTTCGGAGGCCCGTGTCGATGTCCTGGGTCGGCGCTGGGCCCCCCATGACGCGACAGGGCCCCGATCACGAACTCGCACGTTCCCGCGCGGGTTGGGCCGGGCCCCTGAGCCCCTGTCGGGGATGAAGGGACGATTGGTGGTCGAGGCATGCCCACCTGAGCCCATCCCACCTGAGCCTATCCGCCCTGACCTGCTCTTTTAACCCTCAGTCTCCCTGCCTGCCTCCCCACGTCCTTCCTGCCTCCCCCCTGCCTCCCTCCTCTTGTCCCGCCTCCCTGCCGACCGAGATTTCCGCTACAAACCCCTCCCCTTGTCCTTCCCTCCCCTTGCCCTCCCCCCTCCCTCCCTCCTTCCCTCCCTCCCTCCCCTTATCCTTCCTCCCTCCCGACCGAGATTTCCGCTCAAGACCGGTCCTGGGACCCATCCCGGGTCCCATCCCGACCGGCGTTCCCCCCCGCCTCTCCCCGGGTCTGTGTGCCGACGGGCCCGAGGGCCAGGGGTCAGCCCCCGGGGGGGACGAAGCCAAAGTGAGGCCATCCGTCGCGCTGGCTTTCGTGACGTCGTGAGGGTAATCTCAAGGGAGAGAGAAGCACAGCTTCGAGTTATTCGGTGCAGAGGCTCCCAGGAGCAACTCGTTCGAACAGCTTCCATTCCCATGAGTGTCTGAAATGAGCGGACCGGGGTGTGAGTGAGACTGAGTACTTCTGACTGGGCACAACTGGGTCTGAATGTAAGTAGGTCTGGGCATGACTGGGTCTCCCAGGGCGGCTCCCCTTTGAGATGCCCAAGTGCCAAGCATGCTCCATCGCGGTGATCATGGCCCCCCCCAAAAAAAAATAGTCGGGGGCGCCCATGCCCTGAGACGACCCCGCAAACTGGGCGCGAACGGGACCGTGCAACAGCCGCTGGTGGCTCCCCCCTTTGGATACCCAGTGGCCATGCCTCTTACATCGCGGTGGTCAGATGCATCTGGAAATAGATGCGCCCAAAGCAGCGAATGGTCGTTGCGCTAGAGACATCCCCGCAATATGGCCGCGAACGGGCCCGTGAAACACTCCTGGTCGGCTCCCCCGTGGGTGGCCCGGATGCCGTTCCTGCGATATCGCGTAAATCATGGGTCAGTGAAAAGACACGTGTCCAGAGCCGCGAACGGACGCCTCGCTCGAGACATTGTTTTCTCCTCCTCGGGAGCGCGGGCGGGCCTCCGCGCTCGAAGCTCTCTGAGCCTGAACACCAGCGGAGCAGCAGCAGCTGGTGGGGCTCCCAGGGACCTCGGGTCTGAAGGAGGCCCCTGAAATATCCAAGAATCTCTACACCCCCTCGCAGGGGACTCCTCACTTCCTCCTCAAAAGGGTGCGGTCGGTCCTTCTCCGACCTCGTGCCGCTCGCGAACACCCGCGAGCGGTCCTGGCAGCGGGCAAGCTCGCGCTGACCGCGAGCGCCCGCTCGGGCGAAGGCTCAAGGCTCATTCACTCATGCTTCTTTGCGAAGCACACCTCACACCTGCGGCGCGCCATCAGGCGCCGCCCCACGCCGAGAACTCCCTCGAGAGCTCGGCATCGCCTGCTCTGGTTCACCACCCTGTCGGTCTTAGGCAGGTGGAACACCCAGCTCCCGTTCATCATCTTCGTCATGCCCCCTGGGTCGCGCTCTCCTCCTGATGAAGAGCTCGCTCTGGACGCCTGTGGCGCAGGGGCAGTGCGCCCCCACAGCACCTAGATTGCCGCCAGGAAGCCCAGCACAAAGGTGAAAACCCAGCTGAGCAGCAGCATCACTGGAACGATCCTGAAGTCGTAGTTGTCACTGTCGGTGCTTCCAGCACCACCTCCATCTTGAACTCCTTCTCTTCGTTGAGCTTGCAGGGCCATGCACAAGGCCAGGATCGCTGTGCTGAGGCTCGGGCTGCTCGTGATCCTGCCACCGCACTGCGTGCCGCGAGCTGTCCGCCCAAGCTTCTCGATCACAGCGTTCACCTCGACCTCGCGGACCGCTCCCAGATCTCCATTGAGTCGGCGTAGTCCCACCTGCTTGCAGAGCTGCTCATGAACCTCGGACGTGTGTGGCTTCGTCCCAATGCCACTGAGATTCTCGGTACCCTTGCACTTCAGCGCCTTCAGCCCAAGCATGCGCGTAGCCTGCTGGACCCAGAGTGCTCGCGTGTCCAGGTGGCGGACCTTCCCGACGCCCTGACTCAAGGACATCGCGCGAGCTGCTGAAGAGTCCGTCTCCAAGGTCCACCCGGCACGAAACCCGAACCACGTGAGCAGATCCCTGAGCATCTTGCCGCTCATGGCCACAGTGCCCAGCGCGTAGAATTCGCTCTCTCCAGAACTTACTGCAATCAGGTCCCGTCTCCTCGCCAGCGTCGCCAGCACCGCACCATCAGCGTAGAGGACCCCGAAGGTCGTGCTCTTGAGCTTCGCCTCCTTGCCCCCGTGGTCACTGTCGGAGAAACTCCTCAAGTGGACCACGCCCCTCTCGTAGATCCTCATGTCAACTTTCGGGATGAACACGCCCAGGTCGGATGTCCCAACCAAGTAGCGTCCAAGGCGAAGCAGCCTCTTCCAAGAGAGCTCCGTAGGCGCTGCCAAGTCAGATGCCAGCATCCCCACGGCACGCTGGATGTCGGTGCGATCTTGCACCAGGTAGAGGCCACTCCCCACGCACGAACGGTACCTCGCGACCTGCTTGTCGACGAGAGGCGTGGAGTGCTCCAAGACCTCTTTCGATCCCAGGTCTGGAGTCTTAACTGGGTTGGCGCCCTTCAGCCCTAGCTCCGTGATGATGTTGAGGGCGTGCTTCTCGTGCGGTTGCAGGAAGATGCCCTCGTCCGTCTTGGTCCTTGTCCGCTTGAGGTGCTCGAAGCGGCCCTCGGTGACGACGTCGCTGTCCTTTAACTTCAGCTTGGCCTCGCTCTTGCGGCCCGTGCAGTAGAAGTCGTCCATGTGCAGCTCCAGGCCCAGCCTCGTCATCGGCTTGCGGTAGAACTGCGGGCAGGCCTCGTTGCGCTCGAAGCCGCACTCCAGGAGGCGCTCAGCCGCGAAGCTGACCCACTCCCTGCTCGCCGCTCTCCTGCCAGGCAGCTGCTTCTCGAGCTTCCAGACCACGTCCGTGCTAAGGCCGGCCTTGGCCCTTGCAGCCTGCCACTCGGGTGGCGGGTCGCCGTAGAACTCCTCCTTCTCAGGAACCTGGCAGTGCGCGCCCGAGACGTCGCCAACCGCAACCACGAGCGGATCATCTGGATTATCATCGTCCTTCTGGCTGAGGAAGTCAATGATGCGGCTGGTCAGGGACGTCGACCCAGGAGCGAAAATATCATCACGCTCCTCGAGCCAGGCAAACTCCCTGCCCACCAGCCCGTACTTGAGAACCCCAGCACGGTCCTTCTTCTCCCACTTGGTATCAACCTTCTTCTTGCTGTCGGCGGTCGCTCGAGGATGAACTGAGCAGATGCCGAACTCATCGCAGAGCTTCAAGCCCTTGCCGGGCGCCTCGGCCGCCTCCTCCTGAGGGAAGCCGCTGCTGTCCCAGTGCGTGAGCTCCTTGGCCGCCAGGAGCGCCTTGTAGTCCAGCGTCTCGCTGATGTCCTCGATGGCCCCGACGATCGGGTCCTCGTAGCGTCCCCTCGTGGCCTCGTGCCACCCCAGGACGGCGTCGTTGTTCGGTGATCTCGCTCTGGTTGCCGTCCCCGAGGAGCCCGCAGCAGCAGGCATCGGGGCGTCTGGCTCACCACTGCCACCAGCCCCCTCGGTGCCTCGTGGTCCTCTCCAAGCTTCGGCCAGCTCCTGCAGAGCTCTCCGCCTCTCCGCCAGGTCTCGGCGGGGCCTCAGGAGCCTGGGCCTATGGGGCCTCAGGACGAGGGTCTGGTGGGTGCTCAGCTGAGGCCTGGGGATCAGGAGGGTTCGTCCCCGACTCAGGGCCCTCGGGACCAGGGCGGGCTGGGCCCTCCTGGCCCTCTGCCCCAGACGGGGGAGCTCCTGGAGCTGCCCCCTCGGCCTCCGTGCCCACGGCCTCCAGCGGCGTCGGCGCGACCTCGCCCCTGCCGCCGTCCATGACGAGGGACCGAGGCATGTGCGCGATCTTCTCCCTCCAAAGCTCGCCGCAGACCATGAGGAAGAGCTCCTTGTCGTGGCGCTTCCCCTAGGGCATCCTGCGGACGGTCCCGCAGGTCACCTTGCCAACAATCGTCAGGATGATGCGCTCGTCGTTGTTGGTCGTCTTGCCGACCCAGATCACATTGACCCAGGCAGCGTCTGCCTTGGTCAGCCTGGGGGCCAAACCTCCCATCGAACGTCGCTGGCCCGTCTTGCTGACTGGAACCCTCGCCATCACCGCCTCAGCAAAAGGAACCACTGCTCCAGTATAGTTCGCGCCGCAGACCGCGAAGTGAGCCGTGTAGCCATCAGCACCTCGCGAGTACCAGTTCGTCACGTTCGCAGCGTGGTGGGCGAGGAACGGCCAGGGCGGGGAGCGCGGCGTGAGCTTGATCCCGTAGTTCATCTCCACCTGCACCCTGTTGGCCTTCAAGCGGCCTCGCCACCAGCGGATCCGCGTCTCGACGAAGCCCATCGACGTGCTGTCCCGCGTGCGACCCTGCGAAACTCTGGTCTCCAGGTTCTCCTCGCTCCTCGCATTCACGACCTTATCCTGGAGAGCCTTCACCGCAGGCTCAGTGTCGCACCTGAGCTCTGGCTTCTTGTACGCGAGCTGCTTCATGAACCTCATGAGCTGCTTCACGGTGTGATCGTCTGCGGCCTTGCTCCCCAGCGCGTTGCCGTAGAGTAGACCAGCGCTGCGGTCTGCAGCCACAAGAGATGCCCCGAGACCCTTGTCGACCTCGTCGCAGAGATTGTCCGTGTCCTTAGTGCCGTTGAAGGCCCAGTCGAAGAAAATCAGCTCCTCCCTGACATTGCTGCCGTACACGGGCTGCTTGATGCGCGGGTCCTCGGGCCCCAGTCCGAACACGCACGCGGGGCACCACTTCTTGAACACCGCGTGGACAGCAGCCTCGTGTTGCTCCTTCTCAACCTCCGTTGGGGCGTAGGGAGCCTCGACGACCTTGGCCTCTGTCACAGGCTGGCCGTCCACTTGCTGTTGGTAACGCTCCTCGACCGCCTTCTTGAAGTCCAAGTCCTGCTTGTGCTTGAGCTCAGCGTGCTTGAGCCTCGTCCACAGCTGCTCTTTCGCGCCGTAGATCGCCGCCCCAAGCTCCTTCAAGCGCTGTCGGAGCAGGTCGACTCGAGAACCTGGCCCGAGCTCTGCTCCCTCAGGGTCCCTCACAGGGCGGAGAGCCGCCCCTGGCCCTGGCTGGCCCCCAGGCGGACTGGCTGCCGCCGGCGGGGCTGCATCGGGGGCGCCACCTCCAGACCCCGACGAAGCCGACCCAGCACTCTCTGCCATGGGCACAGGCGCTGCAGCCTCGTCAGCCTGGACGGCCCCCTCGTCCTTCATCACCGCGTCCTCGTTGGCGGCGACGATGCCCGACTGCTGGTCGGGGTAGCGGCCCAGCAACCGCTTGGTCTCCTTGACCACCTCCTCGGCGTCCTCGAGGTCCTTGTGCACGCTGGCAGGGGCCCCGAAAGTGTTCTTCCTCCGCACCATCGGGATCTTGACATACCTCCCGTCGGGCTTGGAGTAACCAACGTACCACCCGTCGTTGTGCGAGTAGACCGCGTCAAAACCTGCATCATCGACTCTGCCAGTACCGAGTAGGTTCCGAACAAAAGGGCCGACCTTGCAATTGGCCTTGCAAACCACTCGGCCCCCCATCGTGAAGGGGACCATGGCCTCACCATCAAGAGAGATCTTCTGCTTCTGGGCGGCGATCAGCTTGGTCGATGTAGGCTCCACCGCGCTGCGCCTCGCAAAGGTTCGTCGCGCGCAGTGCTCGTCGGCGCCACCATCCAGCATCAGGAAGTCGTCAACGTCGTACTCCTTCAGCTTGGCCCCGTCGCCGGTGGCCATGATGATCGCGTCGTCGCAGGCGTGGCGCGCGAACTCGTCCTCCAGCTGGTCTCCAAAGCTCTCGTAGCCGTCGTAGCCCACCTGGTGCCCGTTCGACCCGTGGTCGACGTAGTCCACCTGGTGCCCGTCTGAGTCGTGGTCGACGAAGTCCACCTGGTGCCCGTCCGAATCGTGGTCGACGTAGTCGCTCTCCAACGCCATGCAGAAGCCGCACTCGTCGGAGTCGCCCTCGCTGGGCACGACCATCACGTTGACTTCTGCGGCCTCCTTCTCGACAACGCTGGCAGTGTCCTTCTTTCTGTCCTCCTGATCCTTCTTGAACTTGAAGCATTTGATCTTGATGTGGCCTTTCTTCTTGCAGTAGTGGCATGTCTTGTCCTTATCACTCGACGGCGCGTCGCCGCCGCGCCCGCCCTTCGACCCACCCTTGCCGCCATCACCCTTGCCACCCTTGGAGTCGCCCTTGGCGCCACCCTTGCCCTCGAACCAGCACCTGCCAGCAGTGTGGCCGAGCTTCTTGCAGAGGTTGCAGCGCGGCTTGTCGAGCCCGATCGCGTCAACCTGGCCGACCGCATCCACCTGCATCGGCGCCTGGCCTCCTCCTCCCGTGGCCTCAGGCGGCCTGGGGACGAAAGCCTTCGCATTCCTCTCCATGCAGTGCTCGCGAATCCTTGTCCGCATCACCGCATAGTTCTCTCTGACCTCCTGGCTAGCTCCGTCGAGCACCTTCCTGATCGGCAGCGGCGCGTAGCCCAAGATGGTAGCGCACTTGCGCCTGTCGCTGATCGCGTCGTGGCTCGCCAGCTCGTACTGCGTGACCAGGTGATCCCAGTCGTGCAGCACCTCCGCGAAGCTGCGCCTCGAGCGGTCGTCACTCGTCCACCACTTCGGCTGCGCGATCGTCGTGAGCAGGCAGTGCTCAGAAGTGCCGCCACTCGGGCGGTAGTCAGCATAGATCTGCTGCAGCGCCTCGAACCCATTGCCAGCACCAGTCAACTTAGTCATCGTCTGCGCTTTCCCGCGCATCTTCATCGCCAGGAACGTGCTCAAGTTCCTGCTCAGCTCCAGCGTCTCCGCGTTCTGGATGTCTTCTGCAGCTATCGGACCTGCGTGGCCCACCGCCGCGTCATAGAGTGACTTCCACCCGATCTCGGTCACCTCGGCCTCCAAGGTGAAACAGAAACTCTCGAACTCATCCTGGCCGCCACTGGAGCTCTCATGGCTTCTGATGTCCTTCAGCGACCAAATCTGATACGTCCCATTCTGCGTAGTCGTACTCGCCATCGCGAGGCCCGTCCTGGCGGAGCTGTCCACCCTCAGGCCTTCGTCGAAATCGATCACCACCGCGGGCCCAGCCCGCAGCCAACGCCCTGCTGCCGCAGCAGAGCCAAGCCGTGGACCGCACTCGCGGAGCAGCTCACGGCTCCGCTACCATGTTTTCTCCTCCTCGGGAGCGCGGGCGGGCCTCCGCGCTCGAAACTCTCTGAGCCTGAACACCAGCGGAGCAGCAGCAGCTGGTGGGGCTCCCAGGGACCTCAGGTCTGAAGGAGGCCCCTGAAATATCAAAGAATCTCTACAGACTCTGCGAGCGAGCCCATGAAACACTCCTGGTCGGCCACCCCTGGTCGGCTCCCCGTGGATTGGCCCAAATGCCTTGAGTTTTACATGGGTCAAAGTATGTCGTGGTGTGATGCGCGGATCTGGCTGGCAGTGATTCTGAAAGTTCTGTACAGGATTGTATATGAGTATGAGCGCGTTTGAGTATAAGTGGGACTGACTGGGATTGAGTCTGAGTGTTGGTGAGTCAGAATGGGTAGATCTGCGTATGAATGGGTCTGAGTATGAGTGAGCCTGAACACGACTAATTCTGAGTATGTGTGTCGAGCATGAATGGGCCTGAGTATGAGTGAGTCTGAGTATGAGAAGGTCGGGCAGCGAGTCTGAGCGTGACTGACCCTGGGGCGAAGGGAGGAAGCGGCAGGAGCGAGGCGAGGGGCCTCACTGATGACAACGACCCCGCAGTCGGGATACAGCAAAACACCATAAGCCCAGGACGAAGACCCTCGCACGTCGAGCAAGCACAGATCAGAGCGACGTCGCTGTGGCAGGCAAGGCCCGCGGGCGCGGCGCGGCAACGGGCGGCGGCAGGCCACCGGGGCGAGACGCGTGTGCCGGCTGGCCCCCCTCTTCCCCGCTCCCTCCCTCAATATGAAAATACTCTCCCTCTTCCCCTGATGGCGTCCGGGTGATGGCCGCGCACCCTCCGCGTACTGCTTTTTAACACACAAGATGCCCGGGAAATCCCGGGAAACGACTCTCGCTGAGGCGCCGGCGTCATTTGTTCCCAAAATGCTGCTCTCGTTGAGGCGCCGGCCTCATTTCTGCCCCCGAATCGTTCCGAATCGTGCTCCCGCTGCAGCGTGGGCCTCATTTTCGGATCGGTGTTTGGCCTCCGTCGTTCAGGATGGCGTTCTCGCCCCAGCGCGGGCCTTTTTCTCGCGCGCCCATCCGCCCGCCACCACCGCGCCGCACCGCCACCACCCACCACCACCACCACCACCACACCACACCACCAGCACCAGTACCAACACCACCACCACACCAGCACCACCACCCACCACCACCACCACCACCACCACCACCACCACCACCACCACCAACCACCACTACACTGCACCACCACCCACTACGCACGCGCGCGCGGAGCCACAGGTCCGCTACGACACGCGTCCGCGGATAGAGAAAATCAGCGCCATGGTAAGGGATGGGAGGGAGGGGTAGGACGTCAGATATGACGCGAGCGCACCTAGCTTGCCCCCGCTCCCTCCCTCTCCCCCTCCCCCTGTTGAGGAGAAGCATCGGATCGGCGCCTCGGATCGGATCGGCGCTTGGGGGTGCAGGTCGACAGCTCTAGCAGCTCAGGCGCACCCCTGCGGTGCGCTCGGTCGAGCGCCTCTGCACGTTGCCTTCACGGCTGACGTTACAGGCCTGCCGCGCCCCGATGCCGCGCTCAAGCGTGGCATGGCTGAGGAGCGCCCCACGAGTTAGCGCAGCGGGTTCGTCACCCCCCCACGGGTCAGCAGGACGCAGCGTGGCATGGCTAAGGAGAAAGAGGAGGCGGAGGAGGAGGAGGAGGAGGAGGAAGAGGAGGAGGAGGAGGAGGAGGAGGCGGAGGAGGAGGAAGAGGAGGCGGAGGAGGAGGAGAAGCAGGATGAGATTCGGCTCGGAGGCTTCGGCATGGGGCCCGGCCGGCCCTGGGGCCCCTGGCGGCTGGGCCTGGACGCTGGTCCGCTTGCTGGCCCAGCGGTCCTCCATCGCGTTCAGGGACCCGCCTCGGCGGGGCCGGAAAAATACCCCCTCCTTCCCCATCCTCCTTCTCCTTCTTCCACTCCTCTTCCACCTCCTCCTCCTTCTCCACTTCCTCCTCCTCCTGCTTCTCCACCTCCTCCCCTCCTCTTCCTCTTCCTTCTCCTCTTCCTCCTCCTCCTCCTCCTCCTCCTCCTCCGTCTGCTATTCCTTCTCCTCCTCCTCATCCTCCTCCTCCTCCTCCTGCTCCTCCTTCTCCCCTCAATCTCCTCATCCTCCTCCTCCTCCTCCTCCTCATCATCATCCTCCGGTCCCTCCTCATTCTCATCTCCTCCCTCTCCTTCTCATCCTCACCCCGCCCTTCTTCTCCTCCTTCCCCTCCTCCCCGTCCTTTCTCCTCCTCCTCCTCCTCCCCTTCCCTCCTCCTCCTCCTCCTCCTCCTCCTCCTCCTCCTCCTTCTCCTCCTCCTCCTCCTCCTCCTCCTCCTCCTGATCTTCCTCCTCCGCATTCACACAATACGCATACAATTATCCTCTCTCTCTCTCTCTCTCCTGACTATGTCCGGAAGATGTCCCGCCCTCTAAACGCTTTGCGCGGAAGTTGACATACGTGTTTCTCCTCATGTTGTTTACAATCCGATTGTTTTCGGTGTTTCAAACTGGTGCTCCCGCTGCGGCGTGGGCATTACTTTCGGATCGGCGCTTCGCCTCCGTCGTTCAGAATGGCGATCTCGCCCCAGCGTGGGCCACTGTTCTAGATCCGAGCCGTTCCTCATCGTTTGTCGCCCCCTCTGTTCCCCTCCTCCGCATGCCCATGGTCCTCCTGCTCCTTCCTCACGCTTCTTCTACTCCAGTTCCCGCTGGTGCAGTTCGTCCGCGTCGTCGTCGCCGTCGTCGTCCTCCCCCTCCTCCTCCTCCTCCTCCTCCTCCTCAGCTCCTCCTCCTCCTCCTCCTCCTCCTCCTCCTCCTCCTCTCCTCCTCCTCCTCCTCAGCTCCTCCTCAGCTACTCCTCAGCTCCTCCTCCTCCTCCTCCTCCTCCTCCTCCTCTTCCTCCTCCTCCTACTTTCTCATCCTCTTCCTTTTCCTCCTGCTCAGCCCGCCTTTCCGATTGCGCCTGCTACTCCTCGTCGTCCTTCTACTCATGCCCCCTTTCCTCGAATGCCCACTCCCAATCTCGGTCCCGCTCCCACGGGTCCTTGTCCTCCTCATTCTCTCCCTCCTCCTGCTGCTCATTTGTCCGTGGCCTGCGTTTCAAGCGGTTTCTTGCCGATGCGCCGTCCCGGCGCGGCTTCTTGCGTGTGAGCAACTGCTTCTGCGCGGCTCACCTCTCGAGGATGATCCAGAGCGAGGCTGGACCACTTCCCCCGAGACCCGCTCCTCATCCCCGAGACGTCCTTGTCGTGGCCCCCGGGTGCGGCAACGGACCCCGGGAGGCCGAAGCCGTGCTTCCTGCTCCCTGCGGCGAGAGGAGTTCTCGTCTCCGGGCCGCGCATCGGGCCTCCAGCGGCCGCTCGGAGAGGTCCTGGGGGCCCCTGGGAGCGCCCTCGGCGGGGCGCAGCTGCTGGAAAGCAGCCAGAGGCTGGGGAACCTGCCAGGCATCGGCGAAGACGTCGGAAACCCTCTTCGTCGTGCCTTTCGCGATGGCCCTGAGATCCGACGTTGCCAAAACATTGCAACACCGCAAAAGATCACGACCGGAGCCCCCGACCCCATCATCTTGAAGTGGCCCTGGGACGCACACATAAATACACACAAATAAAAAGATTCCCCATATTTTTCCATATTTTCTGGGTTTCTGCCTTCCCGCCCAATTCCCACATTTTCCCATATCTTCCTGGGAATCGACGATGACTTGTGTCTGTGTGTTTTTCCCCTCCTGACATCTTCCTGCGTCATGCTTCGAGCCGCACCGACCTGAGGGCCCCGGGGCCCGAGATCGAGCGACCGCGCCCGTTGTGAAAAAGCGCGACGCCAGGATCTCAGGGGCCAGACCCCCGACGTCATGGTCTTCTCCTACCGTTGACCCACACAGGACTCAGATCCATTCAGGTCTCTCTCGCACGCTCCACCTCCTCCTCCTCCTCCTCCTCCTCCTCCTCCTCCTCGAAGGTCGAGGGGAGGAGGAGTTCGAGGACTCATATCTGAATCACCCACAAAAGTCTCGACCCATTCCCCCGGACCGGTTTTTCATCCCGAGTCGCTCTTCGACGGCCCCGAAGGCCGGCAAGGGCCTCCGGAGGCCGAAACCAGGGGAAGACCTCCCGTCGTGATGTTTCCATTGCCCGAGGGGGGTCTGGGGGGAGAGGGGGGAGGGCGGGACGGGACGGTAAGGGGACAAAAAGATGGAACCCCTTCGCCTTCGGCCCCGCATTCGCCCCCCCCCCTCCCCCCAATTTCAAAGTTGGGTTCGGCCTCTCGGAGGCCCTGGGGGGTCCAGGAGTCCACTTTTTTTGTCCTCTCACGCCTGTGCTGCCAAATGCTTGAGGCCAACCTTGAAATTGGGGGGAGGGGGGGGCGTGGTGTCGAGGGTTCCACTTTTCTGTCCATCTGCGGGAGGAGGTGGGGGCCCGCACCACGGGCCGCTCCGGCGAGGGGCCACGCCGGGCCGTGCGGCCGACGCCCCCGCGGGCTGCGGGATCGGGAGGACTTGCCGTCGTTCGGACGTCCATTTCCCGTGCATTTTTCGGTTTCGTGCGTTTTTTTTTGGCTCGATGGTCCAGGATGGTCCTCGAGGGTTCTCGCCGAGAAGACATGCACAGGTCCGAGCGATGCCAGGGAGGGGGGCCCCCGGCGGCGGAAGGGCCGGGGGGGGGGCCGCCTACGAAGGCCTCCACGCCGCCGAGGTAGATGCCGCTGACCACCTGGCGGCGCGCCGGGGCAGCCACGGGGAGGTCATCCTTCCCTATCCATCCCCACCCCGTTCGCCTCTGCTGCTCCTCCTCGCCCCGCCTTCCAGCCACGTCCCCCTCCCCGTTCCTCGGATGCTCCTGCTCCTCCTGCTCCGCCCCGAGGTCGCGTCGTCCTGTCCTCCACGCCTCCCCTCCGCCCCTGCCCTGTGCCCTACTGCTGCTGCTACTGCTGCTACTGCTGCTACTGCTGCTGCACTGCGTTCCTCCTGGTGCTGCTGATGCTGCTGCTGCTGCTTCTGCTCTTTCTCCTCCTCCTCCTCGGCCGACTCGGCCTCCTCCTCCTCCTCCTCCTCCTCCTCCTCCTCCTCCTCCGCCTCGGGTGTCGGGCTAACCTCCCCCCTCCTCCCCTTTTTACGACGAGAACAAGATCGGGGTAATATCGGACCGGGGTGTATCGGAAATCTCTGAGATCCGGCGGTCCTGAGGGATGCATCGGGCGCCGCGGCCCTCTCAAAGCGTTCTGGAACGCTCCGGGTGCTCCGGAACGCTGTAGGGCGACTTATCCCGATCCTGAACCCGAGTTACTGCTCGCCCAGACTCCGGAGGTCTGGGCCCCTTCCCTGGAACTGGCTGTTCATCCTGCGTTGTTTTTTGAAGGTCCTAGGGTTGTGGATGCCACGATGATGGACACCCTAACAGTCCTATCCTTGAATTTAACATGCGTTTAAAATGTAGGGAAATGTTCTGAACATGTTTTACACACGTTGCTTTACATGTTTTAAACATGTTTGAAACATGTTTTAGACATCTGGAAAGTATTTGGCAACACGCTTCCTCTCCATTGATCCTCTTCCACAATCCTAGGGTCCGACGAGGGCACTCAGAGCCCGACAACTGCAGGAACCCTCCTCACCCCCACCTTTTGCAGCAGCAGCTGCTGCTGCTGCTTCTGCTGCTGCTGCTCCTTCTCCTCTTCTCTCCTGCCCCTCCTCCTCCTCCTCCTCGTCCTCCTCCTCGTCTCCTCCTCCCCTCCTCCTCCTCCTCCTCCTCCTCCTCCTCCTCCTCCTCCTCCTCCTCCTCCTCCTCCTCCTCCTCCTCCTCCTCCTCCTCCTCCTCCTCCTCCTCCTCCTCCTCCTCCTCCTCCTCCCCACCCCTGTTTGCCTCGGCCACGCTGCCCCTGGGCGGCTCCGAGAAGCGGATGGTCAGCACCAGGTCGACGCCGCGCGTCAGCGGCACGGACGGGTGCGGCTGGGGGCGCGGAGGAGGGAGGAGAGGAGGGAGGAGAGAGGGGAGGAGAGGAGGAAGGAGAGGAGGGAGGAGATGAGGGAGGAGGAGAGGATGGAGGAGGTGAGGAAGGAGAAGAGGGGGGAGAGGAAGGAGGGGGAGGATGGAGGAGAGGAGGGAGGAGAGGAGGGAGGAGGTCCCACGAGCCTCTCCTGTACGTCGTGTCCGCTGTTCGGTCGTTCCTTCTTCCCTCCTCACCTCTACCACCGTATCGTCGTCGTATCGTTGTCATGGTATCGTCGTCGTATCATCATCGTCTGGTCGTCGTATCGTCGTCATCGGCGTCGCAATGTCGTCGTATCGTCGTATTGTCGTCGTACCGTCGACGTCGTATCGTCGTCGTTTTCGTAGTCGTCGCATCGTCGTTGTATCGTCGTCGTTTCGTCGTCGTATCGTCGTCGTATCGTCGTCGTCGTCGTCATATCGACGTCGTATCGTCGTCGTCATCGTCGTCGTATCGTCGTCGTCGTCGTCGTCGTCGTCGTCGTCGTCGTCGTCGTCGTCGTCGTCGTCGTCGTCGTCGTCGTCGTCATATCGTCGTCGTCGTATCGTCGTCGTCACCGCCGCCGTCGTGGTCGTGGTCGTGTGTCGGGGTCGTGGTCGTGGTCGTGGTCGTGGTCGTGGTCGTCGTCGTCGTCGTCGTCGTCGTCGTCGTCGTCGTCGTCTCGTCGTCAGCGGCGGCGCAACACGCCGCGCCCGCCGCGCGCGCGAGGCGGCGGCGGCGAGCCTGCACCGACACGACCGTGGGGGGCGCGCCCGCGGGCACGGCGCGGAACTCGAAGGAGAAGGGGAAGCAGGCCTCGGGCGCGCTCCTTCTCTCCTCCTCCTCCTCCTCCTCCTCCTCCTCCTCCGCCTCCTCCTCCTCCTCCTCTTCCTCCTCCTCTCCCCCTCCCCCCTCCCCCCTCCTCCTCGTCCTCCTCCTCCTCCTCCTCCTCCCCCTCCTCCTCCTCCTCCTCCTCCTCCTCCTCCTCCTCCTCCTCTTTCCTATCCTCCTCCTCCTCGTCATTCTCCACGGGGAAGGGGTCCAACCCAAATCCAAAAAATCCGCGCGGACTTCCGAGAGTCCCTGTCGACGCCAATGCTTCCCATGCGAGAGGGGCGGGGCACGGAAGGAGGGAATGGCAGGGACAGGAAGCCGCGAGAGGAGGAGGAGGAGGAGGAGGAGGAGGAGGAGGAGCAAGGAGGAGGAGGAGGAGGAGGAGGAGGAGGAGGGAGAGGAGACGTGGAGGCAAGCCTCAGAGGGGCGAGGGTGCCCCGAGGGGGCCCTGGGCGGGCGAGCTCCTCGCCTGGGGCCCGACGGGATCCCGCACGAGCCGCCCAACCTCTTCGGACACAGACACCCCGTCTACGCTCCATGAAGGCTTGGCGACTCCTCCCCAACCATTCTGGCTCAAGAGTCGGCTCGAGAGAGCTTTGCAAGCGAGTCCAGAGGTTCGCGGACCCCTGGCCAGGCCGACCGCCTTTCTGTCACGCTGCACAGACACACGCGCAGCAGCACAGCACCAGAGAACATCACCATCGGCATCATCATCATCATCATCATCATCATCATCATCATCATCATCATCATCATCATCATCAGCAGCAGCAGCAGCAGCAGCAGCAGCATCAGCAGCCGCAGCAGCATCATCGTCATCATCATCATCAGCATCATGAGCACCATCATCATCATCATCATCAGCATCATCAGCATCAGCAGCAGCATCAACATCAGCATCATCAGCATCAGCATCAGCATCATGAGCATCAACAGCAGCACCACCACCATCAGTATCATCATCAACAACAACATCACACCCCGTCTCCGCTCCATGAGTGCTTGGCAGCGACTCTTCCCCAGCCGACCTGTGGAGACCTAGCCAGGTACATCGAGATACGCTGGGGACAATCCATAGAGGCCAAAACGCATCCAGAGAGAGCAATGGATCCAACGATTTCCAGGGGTAATCGGAAGGACTCGTGGAAACACCAGCGCGATTCGAGGGGCAGCAGAAGTCCTGAAAAAGCCCTGTCGATCCGCTCCTCTCCTCCCTCCCTTCCCCCCCGCCGCCTCCCTCGGCATCTCCCGACTCTGGGATAGTCATCGACCCAGAAGCGATACCTCGGGACCCAGGCTACAGACGAGCAAGAGTATGCCGACGCTCCTGCCTCTCTTGACGGTACCAGCGTACCACAGCCAGGGGACGCCGAACCCCCCTGCGTTCCACCACCTCCCTCCCCTGTTCCGCCTCCCTCGACTACACGCAAGAGTGACCCTGGGTAAGAGTGACCATCGGTGCGCGGACTAAGGGGGCGCACCGTGGCCAAATCCAGGCGCGCCACCAGCCGCTATCGCATCGCGCTGAACGATCGGGGGGACCCAGATGAGCCCGCACCAAGGGTCACTCTGGCGAAGGGTCACTCTTACGCGTAAGCGCCTCCCCCTCCGCAGCCTGTCGAGCTCACCGATGCGGTGCGTGAGCGGACCGCGGCCAACCGTGCGCAGGCCAGGGAGCGTCGCAGCCTTCGCCTCGCCCAGAGGATCGCCCCTGGGACGCTTCGG